AGGTGACGAAGCCAAATAAAGCAATTCTCCACTGCTGTCACTCTGGGTAGTCTACTGCGATGTCGGTCTTCAACTAAACCAGTGTCTTGGAACCGGTGCCTGGCAACCTGACTTTGACTTTCTCCTGCCTGCGATTGGCCAAAAGCAATGTTTCTTAAATTTATCAATAGAGGCGCCATTCATGACTGCTTGAAAATGAAGTGATCATTTTGGTGTAGTGTTATCTTTTTAAAGGGTTTAAATTGCGTAGCAGTGAATAGTTTTCACCTCAAATCATGTTGCTTTCTCGTGCGCGCATCATGAGCTGTGCTCACAAATATGGTCTTAAACACAATTGACCAGTGCATCGTAACGAATACAAAAACTCGCGCAATTCCCACCCACATATTCACTGGACACGGTTAGCAACATTTGAGTCTGGTTTTCACATACCCGAGTACAATATTTTATTTACAAACTAATAAAAATGCCCCATCAGATAACTATACATTTCTTTTTTTTTTTTAACAGTATACATACAGATTTAGTACTTGCAGTGTTTTCAGCTCTATGCACTTAAAAAAAGGATCTACATTTTTATTTTACAACTGACTTCCATAAGCTTAGATTTGTTAGAAGTACTTGATGTATTCATACAGTTGAGTGATGAATGTGTTTGACCCTTGTCATTTCAAATCAAGATCAGTTAATTGTGCAGCAATGTCCACAGCTTAAGCCTGATCCTGAAGCCAACTTTCCTCTTTTATTGCATCTGTGTTTTGACCTTTCGTATAGTTATTTCTTGTCTCAACAAATAAAATCTTGTCAGCACTTTGTGACATGACAACCGATAGATTTGTGTGTAGAACGGAACATTGGTAAACTAATTATCTTTATATTACAATAACTAGATTCTTCTTTGTTCACCCGCTGTAAGTCCTGGTTGTTCATCCTTTTGGCCTTTGACCTTGTGCCAGGGCCTGAGTTTTGCGTGTAAATTCATTTTACTGGCTTATTTAGGTGCAGTTTCTTGTTCCTTGCTGCTCAGGCAGATGTACTCCGAAGGAAGTCCCCAATTAGTTGCCTCCTATGACATGCTTGTTAAGGAGGCGATGAGTCTATTCTTGTTTTCCCCACCTGGGGCCCAAAACCCACACAGGGAAATGACTAGATGAACTAAAGACACATGTTGAGACAACCTGAAAACAATATAACTGGAATGTCTTTGCAAGGAACCCACAAGGTCATAGAAATAAAGGAAGACCAAAAAACAAATGGCGAAGGGAGCTAGAGAGTTAAGAGAGTGATGTTAAAAAGATGGGGAGAGCTGCATACAATACTTTGGGGTAAATGAGGGCCTAAGCCCCATTGGAGGATAGAAGGCAGAAGAAGAGGAAGATGAACTGACAATAGTTAAGAGCATGACCTCTCATCTGGTTCATTGTCTTTGGAACCAAACAAGGCACACAATCCTATTTTAAATCCTTAAACAAATATTGTGCTGATGGATAATGTAGTAAAAATGTGCAAATGGTGAATCTGGATGCAGGTTTCATTTTTTTTTCCGTAACATAGTAGCAACACCATTAAATCTGCCAACCATAATTGCAGCACCATCAGTAGATAAGAATGCACATTTACTCAAATCTACACCATAGTCATGGAGAACCTGCCTAAGTTTCTTAAAGATGCTTGCTTAAGTTTCTCCAAGATGTCTTGGTTGTAGTATCTTGCATGTGGATCAGTACAATCATTCTTTATAAATATTAAATTCACTGCCACAAGACCCAGATGAAAACAGCAAGTTGTGCTGTTTCAGTTGTTGTTTGCATTCACCGGCTATAAACCCTTGTGGAAAAACCTAATTTTCCATCCATATCTGGACTCTGGCTTTGTTCTAGGACCTGAGTTTTGCACGTGCATTCAGTTAACAGATATGGCTTATTTGTAAACAGACTGTTGGTTCCTTGCCTCTCAGGCAGATGCACTCTGACTTTGACGGAAGCCCCAGTTAGTCGACTTTTATGACATGCTTGTTGGGGTGGCAGTGGGTCTATTCTTGTTTTCCACACAATGAGACCCTGGCACCCACACAGGGAGCTGTTCCAGTGATGTCAATGGTCTCATCAGTAACGTTAGAAAAACATTCAAATATTGATAATGTGACCTGAAATTGTTGTTTCATTTCATTTGACATTTCAACAATCAGTATTCTTTGTTAATGAAATATTTTTGAGTACATGTACTTTTCACTGGACATACAGTTTGAGCCCTTTTTACAAGGCACTGCTTCACAAAATCTTTACTGTTAGATTTCCTGTTCACTGCGATCATTCAGCTAAATTAATAAATTGCAGTAATGAAAGTGGCACTGCCTTTCTCAGTCTTCATAAAATATGTATACTGCTGTCTCAAGTTAGCTGTCATTTCCTTAAGTCTCGAGACACGCACTGGGCGTTTATATTGATCGACAGATTGAGGTTCGTTTCTTAATGTCTTTTTAAGTTGTACTCTTTTGGTGTGGCAGTGATGTTGTTACAAATTAATCAATGTATCGTTCTTGTGCAAAAATACTGTAATTCTGTTTTTCTGAAAGACCATTTTTCATTTAATTTCCCTTTTCTCTTAGCTTTAAGAACACTAGCTGTTTTGAAGTTAATGTGGACTTTTTTTAAAAATAAACAAAAAAGATTGCAAAAAAAAATAACTGGTTAAAAAAACAGAAGTGAAACGTTAGCTTTTGTGTAGGCTGCAAGTGTGCTTGCAAAGTGCAGCATGTTTGACATGCCTGATGTATAGGAGGATATGTTTCAACAAACTTGATACGATCAGAAATACATACACACCCAAGTTATGAAAAGAACACACCAGAACAAGTGTAGACTATAAAAAGAACGTTATATATAGAAACAGAACAAGGGTAGACTATATAGAAACAGAACAAGTGTAGACTATATAGAAACAGAACAAGTGTAGACTATATAGAAACAGAACAAGGGTAGACTATATAGAAACAGAACAAGTGTAGACTATATAGAAACAGAACAAGTGTGAGGATTAGATACACATAGATGTATGTGGATGATACACATAAGCTTATGAATAGAGCACCATGCAAGACATTCAAATCAGACCAACCTACACTGCACTACATGTTACTTTGTAGTTGTTTTGAGATACCCCAGTGTAACACTGTAACTGTGCTATATGGCTGTGCCATTGAACAGTGTGTCCAGGATTTGTACATGTGGGATTCTCATCCTTGAGATGTTAATGCTACAGATTGCAGTCCTTGGAAAATAGGAACAGTGAAATTAGATACAAATAACGTCTTGTATACTGTAAGCAGAAACAAACACTGAATTACAGAAAAGTCTCAAGGTGCTAAAATGCAAATGTTGACATTTGTTGTTGTTGTTCCCACTGTGCAGTTCTGTCATTTTGTGTTGCCAGTTTTTCATTGGGTTTTTATATGTTGCGGTATGTTGTTATTAAGTTTAATTTCTAGTAACATGCTTCAACACATGGGTGAACACATACCTACTGCATGTGTATTTTGTTTTGTTTGTCCTAATAATAATCTACACACATATTCTGTTTGTCCTGATAATAACATGTTCTATTTGTCCCTGCATTCTACACATATGTTCTGCTTGTTCCTTTAATCTACACACATGTTCTGTTTGTCCCTATAATCTGTACACATGTTCTGGTTGTCCCTAAAATCTATACACATGTTGTGCCTGTCCCTATAATCTAAAACACATGTTCTGGTTGTCCCTAAAATCTATACACATGTTGTGCCTGTCCCTATAATCTAAAACACATATTATGATTGTCCCTATAATCTACACACATGTTCTGCTTGTCCCCAAAATCTACACACATGTTCTGCTTGTTCCTAAAAACTACACACATATTATGATTGCATCTATAATCTACACACATGTTATGCTTGTCCCTATAATCTACACACATGTTCTGCTTGTCCCTATAATCTAAACACATGTTCTGCTTGTCCCTATAATCTCTATCTTGCTTTAGTTTTGACAGAGGTACCGAGAGTTGACCGTTCAGAAAGAAATTTTAGCCACAGACACTCTGAATTACTCTTAGGAAATCATTTTTAAAATTATTTACATCTGGCAAATAACATTTCTGCCACATGCAGTTACCTATGATAAACAAACTGGAAAGGTTTCCTACTTTACATTATGGGATGTGCGGTCACTGCTTGGCAAGGCTTTGGAATTGATAAATTCATGGCTTGTAAACATGGTGGCAACTTCTTGGTCTTCTCCTTCTTCTTCTTGCATTCTGCTGGCTGTAAACAGTTGAAAGTCCATTCACTTCTGGATTTATGACCCTGTTAGAATTAAGTAAAATAAATCAGTCTATTAAAAACAACAACTTTTACACGGGTCACTAGTAAATTAATTATAAATTCATTTATCAATATTTTTGAAGAAGTAATTCATAAACAAAAACAGGGTAAAGCATTAAAATAAATATATCTCATGGCGCTTAAAAAACACACATTTATTGGGTAACTCATGCCAAGATCCTGCGACCTGTATCACTAAAGCTAATGAGAAAAATCTGAAATCACCGTGACTTTAATAATAGCCATAGCTCAAATTAAACCCCCATTCACAATGCTATTATTAGTTAATGTAGTCATATCCTGACCTCCTAAACGTTTGCTTGAGATTTATGTGAATCTCTTGGTTTTTTTTAATCTGTAAAATGGCTGTGCATGCAACACTAAGTTCTGAAACAAGACTAATGTCTAGAAGTGGACAAACAACCAGAACTTTCTGCTGGAGGTTACAGCCACTAAGAAGGAGAGACTAGTAATATATGACATAACAAAAAACATAAACTTGTTATACTTATTCTTCTCTTGTTGTTCTTATTACAGGATGTATCCATGATGCTGAACTTTCTCACCTCTTGGGACACACCTTGAAACAGAATGATACCACAAAGAAGCACTCTTCCTACAAATGACAAATTATAACATGGCTATTTCAAGATTATTCCGAAAATTCAAAATACTCCAGTACTTAGGCGCTATACTATTTTTATTTTCCTTATTAAAATTATATCCTAGCATAAAAAACAGGTTGATAGGGCAAGGGCTAGACGCAAACAGGACATACATGCTAACCGTAAACCATGATTCTGGCAGGCTAGGAAACAAAATGTTTAAATATGCTTCTTTGTTAGGGATAGCCAAGAGAGAAGGAAGGAAACCATTTGTTCTACCCTACACCCAGGATGTGGATATGGAAAGTGTTTTTAATTTAACCTTTGTGGCTCACCATACACAGTTTAATATAGGAAGGTAAGCTAGTGTGTTTTCTTGAGTGTCATTTGTGCTGTCATCAACTTCTTCTGCCTCCTCTTTCACCTGCTCCTCCTCTTGTCTATACATTTAGGTGGCTAGTTGGACGGATGAGTGAAAAGACATGTTCAGCAAATAAGTTTTATAGACAGACAGATCAGTAATTGGATATACAAACCAAAATAGGTTGACAGAAAAGATTATTAGTTTGTCAACAGATTATCCTCATTGCCCACAAACCAAACCATTCAATCTACAAGTGCTTACATTCCCTTATAAGTAAATCTTGCAGTGTGTGGTGGCTGTTGACACACATACTGTATTGAATTCTTATTCTTTGTCGTCATGCTATATAGCATCATGCTATTGTATGGTCACAACCCTTTTAACATGTTGTTCTTGCAGTCTGGTCATGGTTGCAGATTCACAGTCATCACTAGTTCTCACAAGCATCTTACCTCTCATAGAGCATTCAGAATGTCAGCCTGGTCCATAGGTCATCTGCCCTACACAGTAGCTTTCCCCGCAAGCCCATGTTAGTAGGGATGCTAGTAAAGTTTTATATTTTGGGTTTTTACTTACGAATTCATAACAGCTAGATAAAGATTAAAATTACAAATTCAATGGTACCTCGTTTAAGCCTGTAAGTCGATTTTAAGCGGAGATATTAACATTTTAGTGGCGGACACAACGACAGAAAAATTGTAGTGGAAATGGATAAACCATGGCTTCCCGGCTGCGACCCAGTGAGATGAAATGACTCAATGTTTGATTTTACGGCCATAACTTTTTTGTTTCTGAATGAATCCCTTAGCAACCATATATTGCTGGTGGCGGGACAGTTAGACCTAACTGTATATGCATGTTTTAAAAACATATAATACATTATGCACCTAATTAACATATAAAAATGGCCACCAGCTCATTATTTTCAAGCAAAACATTATACCTGTATGGTTATCTGCCAGCGAGCCTGGCGACATGCAAATCAAATTGTGCGCCCCGACAAGGTGAACACAAAGATCATAAAAATTTACTAAGGTCAGTCGCGGTGACCTAATTAACATATGAAAATGGCCGCCAGTTCACTATTTTCAAGCAAAACATTATACCTGTAAGGTCATCCGCCAGTGAGCCTGGCGACATGCATATCAAATTGTGCGTCCCGACAAGATGAACACAAAGATCATTAAAAAAAATACCAAGGTCAGTCGACGTGACCTAATTAACATATGAAAATGGCCATCAATTGACTTTCTTTCAGCAAAAACCTTATACATTTATAGTTGTCTGCCAACGAGTTGTGTACTGGAACCAACAGGGGCATAAAAAAATACAAAGACCATAAAAACACATGCAGAAGGGAGCTAGAAAGTGAAGTTAAAAAGATAGGGAAGACACTAAGAGCAAATGTAATAGCAATGACTATAATGACAGTGTGAGTTGATTGAGGACTAATGCCCCATTAGGGCATCATAGAAGGCAGAAGAAAAAAAGACACAGTTTGGCAATATGTTTTTGAACAAAATTGACATAGAAAGCGTATGAATGTGAATGTCTTTACAACATGAAGCACCTAAAAGTATCAACTAGTCATGATGCCACAGTGAGAAATGAATGATAACATGCATACATGAGGGATAACAATAAATAGCACTAATGTTCTTACATTTGAAAAAAAAGTGGGATTGAGATAGATACATATGAAATGCAGACATACAGACAGAGACAGCATGGATGATTGATATACCATGGGTTGTGATTATACATTCACTACAGCTTCACACATGCTGCTGCTATATATATAAAGCCACTATGGAAACATCCATCTGGCAGGTGGAATAGTACAACAAGGATCATTGTTATACAGTGTTGTTTTCATATACATATCACTGCTTCTCTCTTGTTGTGTAGGAGTAAATACTACAAAAGCCTAGGCATACACTAATAACAGATACAGCATGGATGATTGATATACCGTGGAATTTTGATGTGATTATACATTCGCCACAGCTTCTCCGAAAACAACAGCTATTGTGTAATAAAAAAATTTAAAAAATTATTTTAGTATCCATGTTTGCCCAGCATCCAAGAGCATAACATTTACACTGGTATGCATCATGACCAGTCGACACACAGAGGACTGATCTTAGTGAATGGAAAATCACACAGAGACAGCTTAAAATTATATGGGATCTGAGCAAATTGAATGCATGAGACAGCAGAGCCAGGTAATACCACAGGAGAGGACATACAGTGGGGATAGCAACAAGTCGAAAGAGACAGTTAAAAAATGAAAAGAGGCAGTGACCAGAGAAAAAAAGTCACACACTAAAAATGAATATAAAATAAAGTTACTAATACAATATACAATAAGCTAACTCACTGATACATTGATAAACACTCAAAACCATGTGATGTGTTGAAGCACAAAACAAATGACACCATATATCAAAATTAGGTGTACCTTCAGTATTTGTTAAACCTGCCAGTAAAGCAACTAAGCTCACTTTTGAAATGCCTTGTCCATATAATACCAGCCCGTGAGACAGTGTGAGCTCAACAGCTCTTTTATTATAAATCAAAACCAATAATAATAATAAACTCTTTATTCATGTAAGACATACTAATAGACGATGGAAACACTGACCACAAGTACATACTATTTTACAAAAATGATAAATCCCCCTGTGCGAAGTTGACTAAAAACTGTTTAACATTCATACTACAAAAGTCACTTGATAGCTCATCATGTTCTCTCCAGTACCACAAATCAATAACTTTCTTACATTTATCTTTTGTTTGTGTGGTTCCCACATTCCTCACCATCTCAAAGTAAACACAGTCCTGGCCCTCTTGATGCCAAACATGGCGCAGTATTACATTTGATAAACATGAAATATCAGTTAAAAACCTCTCTAAATGAATTTTGGACTTACTATCTAAATCATTAAAGATTTTCAACTGTTGCAGTGCAGGAACTAACCCTATCTGAGCTACTGCAGCCTTCAGCTCCTTCTCATAAGCATCTCTGCAAGCTTTTTAATTTTTATGTAAAGCCACCCTCTCATTGTCTTGCTCTCTTTCACATGTTAGCTGTCTAACCCTCATTGCCTGTTTTAAAGCAAAATCAACAAATTGCTGCAGCTGATTATTTGGAAGGGAATCTAGCCAGACCAATGTGTGATTTTTTGTAGCCCTTGTCTTCGCTTCACTTGTAATAAACACAATTATACTCTGTTTTAGATTAGGTTTTATATGCTTTGTTCTAAAAAAATGTTGAATTCAGTGCCAGAATTTGTGAAATTCGTGATCAAGATATGGGCAGGTAAAAATATCTCCAACATAAAATTCTGTAAGCTCTAAATAATGACAAACACATGAAAAAATGGTACAATGTTTGTGGATGTTTAAAAAGTAACTCACATAATATTGTCAATTTACTAAGCATCCTAAGTTAATTACTAAAGAATCATCTTACCAATGATGGCCTAAATTAATTATTGGGATTTGGGGGTGATCAGGCAAAAATATCTAGAACAGAGAATACGAAGGGCTCTAAATAATGACAGATGCATGAACAAATGCTACAATGGTTGTGGATTTTTAAAAAAAATGATTAAAATAACGTTAGCTAATTTAATAATTATTTTAAGTTAATTATAAAGCGGGAAAAACGGTCTCCTAGTGCAAACATATTGGATTTAAAGCGAAAACAGTGATGCCACTAAACATTTTTTTTAAATATGTGCTGTATTGCCAATCTTTGTGAAATTTCCCACACTTATATAAAAATTAACGCAGAATTCAAAAATACAACACACATTGCGGTAATCTGGCTAATTAAGAAGATATTTACGAAATTACTTACCGTTGTTGGATTTTAAGCGAAAACAGTGATGCCACTAAACCATTTTTTTAAACATGTGATGTATTGCCAATCTTTGTGCAATTTCCCACACTTATATAAAAAGTAATGCAGAATTCAAAAATACAACACACATTGCGGTAATCTGGCTAATTAAGAAGATATTTACGAAATTACTTACCGTTGTTGGATTTTAAGCGAAAACAGTGATGCCACTAAACAATTTTTTTAAACATGTGATGTATTGCCAATCTTTGTGCAATTTCCCACACTTATATAAAAAGTAATGCAGAATTCAAAAATACAACACACATTGCGGTAATCTGGCTAATTAAGAAGATATTTACGAAATTACTTACCGTTGTTGGATTCAAAGCAAAAACAGTGATGCCACTAAACAATTTTTTTAAACATGTGCTATATTGCCAATCTTTGTAAAATTTCCCACACTTATATAAAAATTAATGCAGAATTCAAAAATACAACACACATTGCGGTAATCTGGCTAATTAAGAAGATATTTACGAAATTATTTACCGTTAATTCACTGCGTGCTGCCAAAAAAAATTGATTTATTTTATTCGTGTCAAAGCCATCTCAGGTCAAAGCCTGGCGTCTCTCCAATAACTCCTAATAACTGTTCCGATTTTATCTTTTACGTAAAGAGCACAGAAAAATAATTTCTCAATAACTAACAATTCGTTTTGCACTTTCGGGTCGCAGTCGTGTCTATAGTTACCGACGATAATGTATAGCAAAATAAACTAAACAAAACGACCCATTGCTATACCTACCTGTACGGCTCTAATTTGTCTCCATTACTGTACGATGATATTCTGTTCATAAATTCGGCCGTGAGGTGTAGTCCCGGATCCATGCCGTACAAATTCCAAGTAAACTAATTTCTAGGGGTAACCAATGACCAAGACCAAAGGCGGGCAGAAAAACGCTGTAACAAAGTCAACCGTTGAAACTGCTACAAACACGTCATTGACAGGCAAATCAAAGACATTTATTTGAACAATTCCTCACAGATATAAATGGCATCAATGAAATACATACATTACAGTCACTGTATCATACGACGGTTAGCTAATTACTTTCCTCCAATCCGGAGCAATGAGCCTCAGCTCCCCGCAAACTGCGGCATCAATTAGAATAACTCCTTTTACCTCTAAGGCAGAGCAATGGGCTTAAGCTCCACGCCAACTGCGGCATCAAGTAGAAGAACTCATTTTACCTCTAAGCCAGAGTACAGAGCCTAAGCTCCCTGCCAACTGCATCATCAAGTAGAATACAGCTAAGCCTAGTTTCCAACCTCTGCCATTAACACATTTCTTGCAACTGTCATCTGTCTAAAAATTTCTGTCGGCAAGTGACGTTGTGTCTTCGTCATACCTCATGTTCATTATCGGTAGTCCATAGTGTGGATCTTCGGATTGCACACAACACTACCATAAGCTTGCTCATTTTCTTGCACAAATGTGAAACTGATAAGTGTCAGCCTGGATTGCTTGAGAGACTCAAACCATTATCATTGGACCCAGCCTGTCTGTATATTCTGAGCGAACTCATTAAGTCACTGAGAAAGCATTCGCGGTCTCACAAAAAACATTACTAAGTGAGAAATTGCATGTGCATGTTTATATACTTATGTATATATTTTACAATATAAAGTTGTTTTTGTTTTTATCAACTCATTCTCCTCCTCTTCCTGACTCAGCTGGGAGGAAATTGAGGAAACGGAATATGCCTATGAGGATCCAATCTTCCGGAACTTACCCAAAACCGATATTAAGCTGTGGGGATACCTGCAGTCCTGGAAGTACTTTCACAGTATTGAACACGTCCTCAGGAGAGAGTTTACGTTCACCCCAGTATACAAGTGAGCCATTTGTTTTGTCCTGACACATTGTCTTTTATGTGCTTATGTAGACCTGTAGGTTCTTTCTCACATTTGTCTATTTTACCAAATAGATTTAAGAAAAAAATATTTGTTTTAAACAAACGTGCAATGGCCCCGCAAAATCAGTGTAAAGACGATAAGATGAGAAGAACTCCACAACGGAGCATATACAGCAGGGGTCAACCGATCATCAGTAGAAAGATCCCTCGTCGACGATTGTTTCGGCCCATTACTTCCTATACAATCTCGTAAGGTGGGCCGATCAGGGTCTTGAAGCCAGGCCTCGATCTTCCCCTGCTGCACTTTACTGGGTTTTATCAGCCAGGGACAAGACGATATGGTGATTTGTAACAGGTGCTGTGAGAATTATGGATTTGTCGCTTGCGTAGCAAATTAGATCAGCTGACCACCTTATCATCATGGTGATAAGCTTTCAATTGGTTCATTGGTCAGGTGTTAAAGCCTGACAGAATAACTGTGGTATTAGTTATTTAGTGACTTCCCAGCAAACGGATCGCCTCGTAATATCTAGGTTCCTGTACCAGCAAAACCCACATTTGTCCCTTGTGTGGGACATGAATCTGACTGCAGTCTCAGCAAAGCCAACAGCATACGCATGCATTAAATGCCATGTGTCTTCTTCTTCTTCTCTTCCACCTTGTACCTCATCGAAGTGTCGGAGGGAGATGTAACATTCGTTGATGAACTTTGTCAAGAGCATCATTAAGACTGATTTTAATTTCTGTAAGGCTGTTTTTAATGCCATCATTTAATGTCATCACTCAATATTTTCTGAGGTCTTCCACTCGCTCTATACCCGTTGTAATGTTTTAGTTTCGCTGGCTGTGACAAATAGTACCAGGGCATTCTTGTTAGGTGTCCAAACCACTTCATTTCTTATTCTTTGATGGCCCGTAAGATTGGCTTTATTCCTAGCATTCGTCTGATTTTGTGATTTCGTATTCTGTCTTTCCTTGAAGCTCCTGCAGCTCTTCTTAGGTATTTCTCTGTTATCACAATTTTACATTCATTTGAGGATGTAGGTGTTCACGTTTGGCACTGATAGCCCTGTGTAAAACATTGAAACTGCAATCTTAGCAAAACCAGTAGCACACACATGCACTAAATCCATAAGGCAGCCATCAGAAGTGCCAACACAAATAGTCCACCATGAGAATGTTCAAGTCAAGAGTTTATTTGAGTCAATAACTGACATTACAACACTTGAAACATTTAATGCACGCTCCAACCTCATCTTCAGCAACTAGTAGGGAGTTCCAGTTGTAATGGTACCTGTAGCAGTTTGATTATACATTCATCTGATCTTTCTTGTGACTGTAGAATTTAATCCAGATCCCATGTTCCACTCAATGCGGCCCCATTCTTTCCACACCATAATGATCTGTTCACACTTCCACATTGTTTGCTGGATCTGAAAGAGCCTTGTTCACATTTAGCTTGTCATGCATTGATTAACTGTCAAGTGGTGCACCACACCTGCATGTTCCAGACACAAATGTCCATATGATGCTAAGCACCCAAAACTTCTGAAGAAATGCTTACCACTCTGAACAGAGCTCATCTTTCTCCTCATTCGCCAGCATGCTTTTTGAGTCTGTTACAGTCACATCATGTGTGGTAATTGCAGTTCATCATCTGCACTTTTAACAAATCAGCAGCCGCACATGCATTATTGCATAAGATACAATTAGTTCAGTGGCAGTAGATCACTAGCCTTTTTCTGAATCACCAATTCACAACATAACCACCTTTACTAGAGTTAAAAAATATTCCAAATGAAATCTACAGCTCACAGTGTCACATCATGCACTCCATTCAGTAGCTTGGTGACAGAACTATATACTTCAGTGTACATGTCGAATTGAGGTGGAGACAGTCTCTGCTGCCTTCCACTGTCTTGAGAATCAGCTGCACACACAAGCCGTGATTGTAACTGACTCACAGAGCATGTTGAGAAAGGTGAAGACTGGCATGCTTCGTGCAGAGTGGCAAGCATCATTTCAGAGATCCCTGGTAGTTAGCATCCTTTGGATATTTTCTCCAGGTCATGCCGGTGTTTTAAGAAATGAGCAGGCAGATAGACTGGCTGGCTCTGCACCACTGGGTGGCAAATTCCTGTATGACAAGCTAGAGTACATACTGTGAGGGCCCTCTGGGAACGAACGAACAGTGAGGAAGCGCAGATAGATCATTACGTCTGAGGAAAATAGCGCTGTGAGGAGTTACCAGGGGATCTGGCCGACGCTCAACATTCAGGGGAAGGATGAGACGGATATACAATCAGATGGCTACTTGTGCCATCAGAATTGGAACTATTTGCTTGCTGCTAAAGATGGAGACAGAGCACTCATGGGAGTGTTGTGGTGTCGATTCTTAATTCAACATTCAGCATTCAGTGTACATGTTGGCAGTAATGCAATAGGAAGCCATGGCCAGAAGCAGAAAAACTTGCCACAACTAAAACAGTTCGCCTGCCTCTCCACCATATTGGACCAAGATTCCTGTGGTATTCTTCTTCTTCTTCTGCCTTCCACGCCCCAATGGAGCATAGGCCTTCAACCAACTCATGCCATGTTAACCTATCCTTTGCTGCTGCATGCAGCTCACTTCATGTCCTCCCCATCTATTTGACTTCATTCTGTAGTTCCCTTCTCTATGTTTTTGTTTTGTTTTTTTGGTCTGCCTTTATTTCTATATCAATGTGGGTTCCAGTGCAAAGACATTCTAGTTATATTGTTCTCAGGTTTTCTTGGCATGTGTCCTTCCAACACCAGCATCTTTTCTTCACCTCTTGTTCTATTGGAACTTGTTTTTTTTTCTTTTCCAAAGCTCTACATTAGTGATTATTTCAAATCATTTAATTTCCTCCACTCTCTGCAGGCACCAGTTAATGAACGTTTGTCATTTATTGGAAATTGTTTTAGTTGTTATCCATGTGATTTAACACTAGAATAAAAAATGTTAAGTTTAGCATTAGTTTTCATTTCTTTTGACCTTCACAAATGTTCTAGTGTTATGAAAAGCTACTTTTGCCTTTTGTATTCATATTTTCATATCTCCATCAGCTCCCCATATTTATCAGTATTACTGCCCAAAATAGGTGTATAACTCTACTACTTGGAGTGGGATACCATTAAGAGAAACCCCATTACTATTTGCCTAGCTTATTCTCATTATCTTAGTCTTTCCATTATGGATTTTTGGGCCTAGCTGTTGTGATCTTGCATTAAGTATATTTAATTTATCTTGCGTTTGATTACGTAAGTGGGATAGAAGAGAGAAAAAAACACAGTCTAGGCATCAGGTAGGGGTCCACTGAATTCCATTCCTGATGTTATCAGTGGCTTTCTTCATAATCCAGTCTATTGGCAGAAGAAATAGGAGAGGCAACAAAAGACATCCTGTTGCACACCTGTCCTTATTTCAAATTTATCTGTTAGCTTTCCTTTATGAAGAGCATATCTTTATATGTTCTTTTTCTGACTTTTCCATGGCTGGTTACTTTTTGTGAGACATTTTTTTCAGGATGAGGTAGCCAAGTGTAAGCCCAACTCTACCCTTAGTTGCCTCTTATGACATGTCTGGCAGGGTGCACTGTTACTTTTCTTTACTCCCCATGAGGGCCCTGGTAACACACGTGTGATCCTTTGATGTTGATAACACTGAAAACTGGGAGAACTTCACTGCTTTATGTGGTCACATTTCTGCTGGCACAGCGACATTTTGGAATCAGGCAACCTACATGGAAGCACACTAACTTAGTCGCAAGTCAGGTTACTTTTGTCTCATATACCATCAGTATTTCCCTGCCCTTATTCTTCTTTATGTTTGCTTCACTCTGTGGCATTGATTGTCATGCCTGTCCCCAGCCTTCTGTCTCATGCACTACTGATCATTAGTTATGCAGCTGCTATTGTATGTCAGTTTTGTTATGTTCTCACAATAAACGTCACTGGACATTGGGCATTACCAAGCGTATTCATCCCTCTGATGCAGCAGTCGCTTCAAGGTACTTCTGCTGATTGTTTCCTTGAGGAGTTGTTTATGATGTCTCCTGTCTCAGGGGGCTGCGTGGTTTCGAGGCATGGTGTCTGCCTTGAGCGCTAGAGGTCCCGGGTTCAATCCCCCGTTCTTGGCTGGGTATTTTCACTGGGACTTGGTCTTCTAGTAATTCCCCCTGGTCTCCGGGTAGTGGGATCGACGCCCGTATGCATTGTTGCGCACATTAAAAATCACTTGGCAGATGGAAATCAAAAGAGTAGCCTAATGACGCTGCCCGGGCAAAAATTTGGAGTTAAAAATATACCCAAAGTATTTCAGGATCCTTGCTGGTGCTACAGAGCCTGTGCACTGTGCTGAGCCTCTTCGGACTCAGACTTGAGTTAGAAGAAGAACTTAGCATTTAAGGGTTACTGCCTGTGTGCCATGATGTTGATACATTGTTCAAACCTCAAACCTAGCATGGCTGTCTGTGGCAGTTGGTACCAGGGCATTCTCATCAAGGTAGCCAAACAATCTCACTTGTTGCTCTTTAATGAATTGTATGACTGGTTTCAGTCCTAGTCTTCTTCTAATTTCTTCATTCTTGATTTTTTCTCTTCTTGTCACACTGGCAGCTCTCCTAAGACAACTCATCTCTGTTGTTACGATCTTCCGCTCATTAGTTGTAGAGAGTGTCCATGTTTGGCGCTGGTAGTACAATGTCAGCAAAAAAAAAAACTTTTTGAAAGATTTGCTTTGGTTGACAGAAGTATCTTTCTATGGGTCAGCAGCGGTGTTAATTGTCCTATAACCTGATTTGCTTTCGCACATCGTATGTTGATTTCTCTATTCATTTTCCCAGCTGAGGTGAAAAATTACCCTAGATATTTAAATTTGCTCAATTGTTTTATTTATGTGTTATTTACTTAGATTGATATGGTTTATTATTGTCTAAATATTACCATTACTTCTGTCTTATCAATGCTAATCTCAATATATTTCTCACACTTGGTATTATTGACTTGGTCTGCTTTTACCTATCAAAAACAAACCAAAAACACAAACACGAAGAAGTTAGCTAGAGAGTGTGAAGTTAAAAAGATAGAGTGAGCGTATACCATAGTGAAGACTAGGATGACTTGGTTTGAGGACACTGGGGGAAAATAAATAAAAAAGGAGATGAAGAGGCAAATATACGAAAAGTAAACATGCTTCCTTGCACAGATCATGGTGACACACTAGCCATGCAGCCCTAGATTCTCAGACTAAAGACAACCAGTCCTACATTGACCCAAAAAAGTCAATATTGTTGTTAAAGGCATTTATGCAATGATAGATAATCCTGGCTATTATTACAGTTCTTGTATTTTTTTTTTTTTTTTTCCAGATCTGAAGCCGATGGTATTTTGAACGATATCAGAGAGAAACATCAAAATAAGGACCAGATTGTGTTTGTAGGTGTACATGTGCGTCGTCGAGATGAACATTCTACCAAGATCACCTGTGAAGCCCCAAAGTCATTCTTTACGAATGCCTTTCAGAAAATGAGGTCCCTGTTGCCAGGAAAGACTCTAATTTTTATTGTGTCTGGCAATGATCTAAGCTGGTGTGAAAGAAACCTGGCCAACAATGACACTGTTGTGCTCCAGCCATCTTCGTCAGCTTTTCACTTCGCAATTCTGGCTAGTTGCGATCACTTTGTAGTCAGCGTTGGAACTTTTGGTTGGTGGGCTGGTTGGCTCACCGGAGGCCATGTCATTTATTATAAAAAGTTTCCACTTCCACTTTCATATGAAGCTATTGGCTTTCATATTGATGATTATTATCCAGCTTCCTGGATAAGTGTAGATGATTAGATCAGCTGTGAGTTTATCATCGTTTGGGCTCTCATTGTGTGGTGAGGCTGAATAGAGTTGCCATTTATCTTGTAAAGTTGCCTCTCTCACATAAAGTTGCCCTTATGTATCCTGTAGGGTTGCTTCTGTGAATCAGATTGGCATTCAGTCTCACACATTTTTGTTGTTTCATTGCTTTTGTATTTGCGCAAGAGTTTCACACAGCTGCAGAGACAGTTTCTGAGACTGTTCTGTTAAGGATAATATCTGCACACAGGAGCCGCCATGCTGTAGCGGCTTGAAGCTTGCCTGTTGATCGGAAGGTCATGATGGAGCCTTTTTTTTTTTTCAGAAATGACCTTGGCTCCCAGGTCTGTTGTCCCAGGTCGACCCAACCTGGTGTGGGTACCAGATATAGTCATGGGAAGTAAAGGTGGTTGGCGTAATTTTGACCACATTACCCACCAAGAGCCGATCGATCTAAAAAATAATAAATCTAGCCCTCTATGCCCAATGCGCCTTAAGACATAGATAAGGGTCCTTTACTTTTACTTTACATCTGTGTATATCAGGGCTATGCAGCTAAGTTTACTCAGGGCCCAAAATTTTGAAAATGGTTATCGACTGGCCCAAACCCTGGCATACAAGGATCATTAATACACTACATCTGGTAATAATCCTCAGGCCGGAGTTGGCCCGCAAGTCACCAGTTGAAAAGTCCTGGTGTATTAAGTATCGTGTTCTGAACCTGAACATACTCATCTACTCATTCGTACCCTTTTTGTTCATGGTGATATTTATCATAATTTATAATGATTGTGGGATTATTGCCAATTCTACAATATAAAGTGCAGTGCTGGCTTATGTACTTGCAACAATACATGAACAGTTAATGAGGTTTCACTAACAAATTCTAAACTGGAGGAGCATGAAGATCAATCTACTTAATAGTCTGCTAATTCCGGTGACTCTATGTCAGTTTTGCCTTTAATGGAAGCTTCCTGTCACCTCATGACAACATGATATATTGTATTATTTTATCACGATTGTAATCACTAAACTTTGGGCATTCCTATGTGAACTCAGTCCCTTCCTGTGTGGGTTCCAGATACCCCATTGGGTGGGGGGGGGGGGTAGGAATAGACCACTGTCCCACTAACAAACATGTTATAAAGTGCATCTGCCTGAGGAGTGAGAAACCAACAGCTTGCATACAAATATTTCAGACCTGTAAAATGGATGTGCATGCAAGACTAAAGTTCTTGAACATGGCCAAAGTCTGGAAGTAGTCATATAACCAGAATCTGTACACTAGATTTAACAGCAGGTGAATGTAAAGAAGAAGAAGAACTCTGTCCCCCCATTGCATAGCAATTGTACTTTCAGTTTGTGATTTCCTAATTTTACAATGAAGAAGCTATTATTGTTTTTTGCCCAGGCATCACCCCAAGATAATATAATAGAGCCAGCAATTTACACCCATCAGTACTCACTAACCAAGTTTAAAAAGCATTGACTATGTTTTCATATCCTTGACTGTTTTTGTATAGCGTTAACTTTGTTTTCATATCCCTGACTATTTTTGTCATGTGTTTACTTAGTTGTCATCTACCTGACTATTTTGTAATGCAATTACTATGTTTTCATTTCCCTGACTATTTTGTAATTCATTTACTATTTTTTCATATCCCTGACTATTTTTGCATTGCGTTAACTTTATTTTCATATCCCTGACTATGTTTGTTTTGCACTTACTATTTTTGTATATACTATGTTTGTGTGGCCTTGACTATATTCGATAGCATTGACGATATTTGCCCACCCTTCTTCCTGCTTGAAAGGTGCAATATTTGCCAGCTGCTCTACATATTCATTACCCTTTTTTTTATCAGTTTCAGTTGTGTAAATTATGTGTTACATGGCAAGTGGGAACTTTTCTAGTTTTCAGGCCCATCTCCACCCATTGACACACTTATGATTGACGGAAGTGGGGGGGGGGCGCAGCACTCTAATTGGACATTTAGTCTCCGCCTTAAGCTGTCAGATAGTCAAGTGTAACTGGCAAGGGTGTCAGGGGGTCCTCTCTGTACTGTTTGCTCAAAAAGCTTTCTGCGTTGTCTTCTGTTTACGTTTTGACCCTGAGAAAGATAATCAGTGTGACATAGGTTTCAGCACTTTCCGAGGGGGGTTTATATTAGGGCCAGTTCTGCATGTTTTAGGACTGTTCAAAGCGCTTGCATCCTAGAAAATACAGCCTGCAAAATCATCAGCTGACACCCCTTTAACTTTCAGTAAAGTTGACGAGCCCAAAGAAGTATGAATAAAAACAGATCTAGTTTGTAAATGGGCAGAGCTGATGCATATGGGTCTAAAAATGAGAAAAGTACATGCAAATGATATAAAGTGTGGTGATTTCTGCTTGCTAGCTGCCCATTCAGAATGAATTTAACTGGTTGTGATTATTTTGTGTACTTGCTAATCATGCTCACCATTGTCATGGGATGTGAATCCCATTCTTCCCTATAACCCATTTTAACACTATCACGTAAATAGATTAAAAGGTTCCAACCAGGGCTGTCAAAATTATTTGGGGGAAATAGTACCAAATATTGTTTGAAAAGGTACCAAAAGGTTAGAGTTTTTTTTTAAAATTAAATCGAAAACCCTTTAAAACATCTTTAAAAACAGATGTGTAATGGATTAACCCTTATATTTGATCAGAATTAACATTCTTTGTTCATTATTTCATTGCTTTTTTTTGCACCTAGATGTGTTACAAAGCTGCTGTGGTGGCTTCCAGTTGGTGCTGTTAATATCCTGGAGCAAAAACTTTGAACTCATCAATAAATTATTATTGAAGTCTTCAAAGAAGAGCAGTTTTTAATTTTGAAATCTTAATAATGTTAAGCAGAGAGAAAACTCAAACATACCAAAAATCGGGTGTGGTACCACAGGTACAGTTTTGCTCAGCAAGGTTCAAACAATACCAAATGTGTATAAATGTACCAACTTTGGCAGCCCTGGTGCCAACAACAATTTTTCTGTAGTAGGTATGGAACTGAAATCTGGAAATCCAGCAGTTACTGCAGAGGAACAAAACTTCGACTCTACAAGAGCATTATTTTTCCAGTTCTTCTTTATGGAGCAGAATGCTGGAGAATGACCAAAAAGGATGCACTCATGCTATCCACCTTCCACAACACGTCTACGTAGAATTATCAAAATTTTCTGGCCAGATATAATCTCAAACACTAAACTACTTCAAGTCACAAACCAAGAAACTCTAGATAGTATATAACCAAGAGAAGATGGAAATGGCTTGGCCATGTTATGAGAATGAATCCTGATATACCTGCCAAAACACTCTGACATGGACACTAGAGGGAGAGAGAAAGAAGGGGGCATCCAAAAACAACATGGAGACCAACGATGATGAGTGACCTGAATGCAGCATCTCTGAAATGGAAAAACTGCACTGAAGATTACACAGGTCAGGAAAGCATGGAAATTCCTTTCTGAAGCCTCATGTGCCACTAGGCATATAGAGAATTGATGATGATATATGGAACTGGGGAGTCACTGTGACGTGACGTGGGTGGCTGGGCGCATGCTGTAAAGGATGTGCTGAAGCGATCATAATGACCATTTGGCTCTGTGGTTTACTTGGCCTTAGAAACTGACACCAACTTTCTGAACTGTCTAACAATTACCTGGGAACCAGAAATGATGAGGGAAGGGCACTCCCACCTCACATACTGTATAGAGGCATCCTAACATCACATCTTAACTCTTTTAGTCCCTGAAATTTCTTCTTCTTCTTCCAGTTCACCAGCTGTAAACTCTGGTGGAAAGTTCTGGTTGTTCATGCACTTCAGGACTGCAGTCCTGTTCCTGAACATGAGTGTTGCGTATGCATCCGTTTTACAGATCTGACTCAGCTGTATGCAGACTGCTGGTTCCTGCCTCTCAGGCAGATGTATTCTGACTTCAAAGGAAGCTCCCAGTTAGTCGACTCTCACGACATGCTTTTGGGTAGGCACTGGTTCTATTATTGTTTTCCCTATAATAGGGCCATGGAACCCACACGGATTGTCCAGAACATGTGTTTGTCTATATCCTCTTTTCCAAAAATCGGCTGTGGCCTAAAGTAATACAAGATTAGGTCTGAGAGGTGGGTTAAATCATTGCTGGGTCCGATAACAAAGCTCCATAAAACCTGGCATGCTCGGCAGGTACGGTAAATGTATTATAAGTTTCTTTTCACTAAAAGAGTTATTGGCAAATTTTTTTTTTTACACATTTTTTTTTTTTTTTTTTTTTTTTTTTTTGGTATTTCTAATGCACCTTGTAATGGGTTCTGTGTAATAATAAACTGTTAATAATAAACTGTTTTTGTATTCAGTAATATTTAATCTGTCTATAAAAAGATAGAGTAAAACGTCTACACACTGTTGTATATTTTTACTTCGCTTGTTCAGTAATGTGTTGATACACTTTTTAATATATTCAGTGCTATTGTATGCCTGCTAAAATTCTCAGTAATGTTTTTTGTACACTGTTTAATTGGTTCATTAATGTTTTAATATAATTTTCATTGGTTCAATAATATTTCAATATATTGTTTAAATAGATATTCATCAGTGCTCATTTCTTGTATTCAGTAATGTTTTAATGCATCTTCCAAAATGTACAGTGATATTTTAATTTATCTTCTGATAGGTTTATTGTGACACTTTCTTTTAGGTTCCGTGGTAAAGTATGATTTGAAGTGAAAATTAGCACATTTGTTGTATTGTTGAGAAATTTATGCTTTAAAACTCTTCATTGCGAAAGATAATCACATCATATTTAGCCAGTGTAAGTAGCTACCCTTTATTTCAGTCAAGAAAAATAATCAAATGAGATTTAGCCACTGTGAGTAGCTACCAATTATCTTTTTTAATTAACTGAAATAAGGGTAGCTACTCATGTTTACTAAATGTGATTTTATTATCTTTCTTGACTGAAATAAAAGTAGCTAC